AAACCAGACCATTGGTGGAAGGGAAAGCCAAATGGCCAAATTGCAGCTGTTGGGAAGTATTCTCCTACTTCTCTTGAAATACTCAGTATGAATATTTTACATGGGAAGTGTCAGATTCTGAAGCAGACTAATATGTTAGGTACATAAGAATATAATTTTGGGGAAGTAACATGGCTTATTTAAAACGTTTTGGCCTTGGGCAATGTTTTTATTAAAGAAAAGTAGTGTGTTAGATGCTAGCTAGTGAAGTAGGACCTCTCATGGGACACAATTAAGGTTTCAGTTTCTTAAGATTTTAGTTTCTAGTAACACATATGTGGGAACTAAAATTTTACCAGTCTTCCCAGGGATGATTTGTCTTGGGGGGAATGGATTTATGCCAACCAAATGAATGCACAAATACCTCATGAGGAACCCTGGACAAACCAGAATATCAATGTTCTAACTTACAGAGATGAATGTAACAGAAGACAATTTTAGTGGCTGATTATTTGTCTACTAGTTTAGGAGTCACAGTGGTACCTCTTAACAGTAGCAAGGTACTAAATTAATTAATAGAACAGTCTTTCAGGAGCTTATAATTAGAGCATAGGGAAATAGAATGTTTTCAGGCTATGGAAACATCAAACGAACCATTCTGTCCACGGAGGAGTAATCTTACCAGTATGATAAAATCCTCTTAACTTCTTTTGGTCTACACTTCTGTCTTTTAATTGCTTCCTACAGGTGCGCCTGGGTGGCTCAGTCGTTCAGCATCTGACTTTGGCTTGGGTCATGATCCCAGGGTCCTGGGATCAAGCCTCGCGTCGGGCTCCCTGCTTGGGGGGAAGCCTGCTTCTCCCTCTCCCACTCCCCCTGCTTGTGTTCCCTCTCTCGCTGTGTCTCTCTCTGTCAAATAAATAAAATCTTTAAATAAATAAATAAATGCTTCCTACAGACTTTTTGTTCCATCAGCACTTAAGGCAGTCATATTACAGTATGGTTGACTAGATTATAGATTTTACATTCCGTTCCTGAGGATATACTTTCTTTAACTTGACTGAACTTGGATGTTTCCCAAGGCTCCATACACTTCACACAATATCACTTTCAGTGGATGCCTGCTATAGACAGTTAATCTCCGTTTTAGTTGCTCTTAAACTTGAGCATAGAGATCACTGGGGAAATTTGTTAAAAGTGAAGATTTCAAATTTGAACCCCATGCATTCAGATTAAGTAGATCTGGGGATTGGACTCTGAGACCTATAGTCTTAGTTCTTATCCACAGAGAAACATCATATATGTGTAGATTCTTCACAGTTTTATTTCCAAGGGAAACTTTATCACTAAAGTCTGTGGTACTCTAAACACTAATAATAAGAGGTTTGGTTTTAAAACCTTGGCAAGTTTCTTAAGTACCCATAACCAATTTTTAAAACAGTCCAAATTTTTACATTTAACTCTTGCTTTTATTTCCTTTGCCAAAATATTCGGGGAAGCTGTGGTTATGTTGGCCATGCACAAAGGAAGTTCTCTTTGTTCCAGAACATCTTGAATATCTACTTCTTCTCCTTCTTCACAGCTCTTGTTCAAGATTTCCTCACCTCTCATCTGGACAGGCCCAGATTTCTTCAGACTCTCACCCCATCCCCTCTTTCCCAGGGTGCAAATTGCTGGTGAAGGTGATGGTAGCTGTTGTAGGATGTGGGGTAGAGGGAATCACATGGTCATAGGCATCTCAGAAAAGTCATTCTGACAGGATGAAGATGAATTAGATGGGAGTATCAGTCCCCAGGAAGTGAGAGAAGTTTAAAAAAAAAAAAAAAAGCTAGTATTAGAAGGAAATATTAAACTTGGAAAACAAGGAAATTTCCTATTGCTTTTATAATATAGAGTATAGGATATAATGTTTGAGCAAATAGAAGCAATAGAAAAGGTCTCAATTTCTTAGGACATGGTTCCATCTCTTGCCATTCTCACACCTGTGTGCTGTGTTCCAGCATATACTTGCAGCAGCACGTCTTTGCACATACTGTTACTCTTTTCTAGATGCTGCCTCACTTTTAATATTTATTGAATACCTTTTATGTGTCCTCATTAGGACATGAAGATACAGTGGTGACCAAGATTAAATTGGTTCCTGTCCTAATAGAGCTTACAATTTAATGGGGCTGGGGAATGAGATACCAAGTAAAAACCCGCATGATAGTATAATGGTAATTGGGAAAAGTGTTAGAAGTGCTGTGAGTGGATAGAAACAGGAACCTAGCCTAATCTAGAAGTTCAGGAAAGTTCCACCTGAGGAAATGACTTTTCAGCTGAGACCTGAAGGATTAGTGGGAATTAACTAGAAAACTGGGGAGTTGGGAAGAGAGTGTTTATTTGGGGGTAGGGGGAAACACTTTGTCCTTAGTGCCTGAGACAAGGAGGAATTATCAGGAAATTCAAAGGAGGTCTGAGTGATTGGAGGAGATGGCAGAGGCCTTATAGTTTACAGTGATGTTTTTGTACTTTATCCAAAAACAGTGGGATGTTAGTGAGGGGTTTTAAGGATGAAGGTGAGGAGTGTGGCTATGTGTTCAGATTAATATTTGAAAATGATGACTTGGGCTGTTGTGTGGAGAAAGCATTGTGGGGTTCAAGATAGAAACCAGTGGACTAAATAGGCTGTCATATAGACTCGTTGGAACCCATCAGTTCAGGGCAGAGATGATGACAATCTGGACCCCAGGGATTTAGGACTGAAGATGGGAGAAATGAATGGATTGAAGAATTACTTCATAGCTTGAATTGATAGGAGTTACAGTCTATGTGGAGTAAGAAAGAAAAGGACATCTCAAGGAGGACTCCTAGATTTCTGGATTGAATTAGGTGTGTATAATAGTCATTTCTGTTGAGATTGAAGGGAATGCTAAAGGACCTGGTTTGGAGGGAAAGGTCAAAGCTGTTTTGAAAGTTCTTTCTCTGTGGATTCTTGTTTTTTACCTTAGAAACCCCCAGCGCCACCAGATTCTGCTCAAGGTGGCCTTCCTGTGAAATCACTCTAAAGGTTTCCGCCTGCCCCATCTCCCATGGGGCAGTAAATTGTCCTCTTGGTATGGTCCTCTCTTAGTCCTTATTTCTCTGTTTTATACTTATGCACTTGCCTGTCTCTTCCCAGACTTGATTTCTTTGTCAAGAGCTTTCAAATAACTCATATTAGTTTGGTGATTCTAAAATATGGATAAATATTTCTTCAGGTGTTTTCCATTGAGTTATATATGTTAACATTTCCTTTATCTTAAATCCAGGTAATGCTGGATCAATTTATTTTACTGCAGAGCTTTTCCCAGCCTTTTGTATTCTAATGTGGATTGTGAATGTCTGGGAAGTGCATAAGGTGTGCAGTATTTTCCAGTATTATTTAGTTGTCTCCCCCCTCCCTGCCCCCAACAGCCTTTGTTTTCTGAGCGTCTCATGTTACTAGTGTTGAGGGTAAGAGATGGGGATAGGAGTTTTCTGTGGGAAAGGCTGATTTGGGTGTGTGCCTGTCACAGAGTAAGCATATAACTCACTGAGTGTGGACTCTGCGAAAAGCAAACCTGACAGTTGGGCGAGTACATCTCTGGATGTCTTTGGAAAGGTCATTTTGCCTATAGTTGCTGCAGATCTATTTCTTTTACCCCCAGTGATCAAAACAGACATCAAGGGATAAGAATTTACTGCCTATTGTTTCCCCCCAGGCTAAGAATGCTAGGTGACAAATTTTTCTGTTTCTTTGTAGCTAATCTGGGAAGAGCTGAACAAAAAATTCTTAGGTCCTTTTATTTATTAACTCCCAACATCAAAATAGTGCCTTTCTTATACCACCTGGGTTGTTCATAAAATAAGCAGTTATATTAGTAGCCATTTTTTTGTAAAAGAAAGAAATGTTCAGTATTTTTATAAGGCTATTTATATTCTGTTTTAGAGAGTTGGCTGTAGTGACGCAGAAACTAGGTTTCAGGGAAATATAGACAGGATAGACTAAATGGGGAAGACACTGTTCTTTTTTTGAAGAGTATATGAATTTATTTTAGAGGCGAATTCTTTTTTTCAGAAGTTAGAGTGTTCAAGACAGTTCATTTTTAGAGTGTAACCTAATGGAAAGTTTTATCAGGAACTCACTCAAACAGGAAATACATTTGTTTTTTTTAAACTTGGATTTTATTTTGTAATGCCAGATGTCATTATTGTATTACGTTTATGAACAGACTCTAACTGCTGGCAACTTTCTTGCAGTCATGTGGAATGGGTAGATGCCTTTGCTGTATAAACTCTATTTGGCTATAGAGTTAACAGTGAACATAATTTTTTGAGTGATATAAAATACTGCCTAGATTAGTAGGGTAAAAATGTCATAACCACATCTACATCTGTACTCCATCTTAATTTATGTGTTCTCATTTATTCATTCCACCTGTTATTACTGCAAATGTTTATTCCCAAATTGGATTACTTTGGAGTGGCCGGGAAAACTTGATCATCTTTAGTCCTGCTATCAGAGAGGTTATCAGCCTTTGTTATCAGTTTAATATTCCCTCTGCTGTCAGGGCCAGCCAGCCTGAACCTTTGAGCAAATAAAAATCTGTGACTAAAGATTACTTTTCCATTTATTTTAAGAAATGGCTGCGGAAAGGAAAAAGAGCTGCTGAATACCCTGAGTAGCAGTGATAGGGACTCTATGAGTAAAAGGTGGTGGTTTTTAGCAGTGAAAACAGCGGTAATTTTTGATGCTTCCTCCTGAGTATCAATCCAGTTATTTCTGTGCTATGTATACCTTTACACAAAAATGATGGTATTGTCTAGGCTCTGAAATCTGCAGTTGCTTATCCTATTGTAAAAGTCACAGTTCAGGATATGGTTTTTTTTTGTTTTTTGTTTTTGTATGATGCACTCTACACTTTGGCTCCTAATAAAGCATTTGTTGTCCAAGAAAATAATTTTAACTGTAGAAACTTCCACATTTGTTTCAGGTCGGTCTTCTCTCTTTCCCTTTGAAGATGCCTTCCTGGACGACAGTCACGGTGATCAATCCTTGTCATCTGGCTTGAATTCTCCCACTCGTTGTCAAAATGGAGAACGAGTAGAACGTTACTCTAGAAAGGTGTTTGTTGGAGGCCTTCCTCCTGATATTGATGAAGGTACGATACATTCATTAATGACTTGATAAAGGCCAGGTTTGTTCTTTGTGTGATTTGACCCTGCCTCTCCTCTCCAGGAAGCTTTGGAACATTCCTATTTTAGTGTTTGGAGGATGAAAATATTTGATAGATGGGGAAGTAATAGATGGTGCATTTCAAGTCTGCTCTTCAAATGTGTTCATACAGGGCAGTCTTCCAGCAGCTTCGTGTTTCCTAGTCGTTAATTTGGGGACCAGCTGTAAAATAATAATGAAAGTTAATATTTATGAAACTCTTTGTAAGCCCATAATTGTGCTAAGCGCTTCACATTACATTATCTCTTAATCCTTACAGCTATCCTTTAAGGTATATCCTACCAACTCCATTCTATAGATAAGGAAACTGAGGATCAGAGAGAGACAGTTTGTCCAAGGTTATATAGCTAATGGTGTAGCTGGCATTCAAAATTAGTCTGATTCCAGAGCTTTTGCTCATGTTCATCACACTCTCCCATCTCATATTTTAATGTAGATCTCTATTAATGAAAAGCCCCCTTGCCTTAAAAAGAATAAAGACTAATTAGAATTTTTCTTAATAATATTCTTGAGATACTGTCGGTCCAAAAGCGAGTTTTCACTAATGCCAAAAGCCAATCAGCACGTAGTAGGTTGTCAGTAAATATTTGTTGAACGGAACAGTTACCTTAAGGGAAAAAAACAACGACTCTAGTTCTAGTAGGCTTTGGATCTGCTATAAAAATATTATTAAAACAGTTGTTTTGTCAGCATTGTTCTAGTTGTGACATTTCTCTAGTTTATCGTGATTTTCTTTTTTCATGATGAGAAAGGAATAGTCTAAAAATAGTTTTAAGACTTATTGCTTTAAAGTTGTACAGAGCTGGAGACTCATTTTCCTCCAAACTATTCTCATATTAGTGTTAATCTCATCTATCAATTGGATTCTTTTTTAAGACAAAGTTTAGATCATGGCTGAGAGAATAACAACTTATATCTGAGTGGGAGCTAAGTTATAACCTTCTGCTTTGAGTCAGGAGTCAGAAGGAAAAGGCAAATTGATTGAGCTGTAACTTTGGAAATATTTTCTTTATAGGATATGTAGTAGGGGCACCTAGGTGGCTCAGTCGGTTGAGCCTCTGCCTTCGGCTAGGGTCGTGGTCCTACGGTCCTCAGATCGAGCCCCATATCGGGCTCCCTGCTCAGTGGGGGGTCTGCTTCTCCCTTTCCTTCTTACCGCTCCTCCCCCCGCCTGTGCTCTCTCTCTCTCTCTCTTTTTCAAATAAATAATACCTTTTTTTTTTTAAAAAAAAGAATAACCAAATGTGCCCAGCAAACAATTGTATTTCACTTAGTAGGTTTGGCTTCTGTAAAAATACTTTAGAAATAGTTCTCAAAGTATTTTTTAAATAAAAAGACATGCTTTATGCTATTCTGTTTGCAATATTTTTTTTTCTCTTGCTAAGATTGCTTCTTTATTTTGTAGATGAGATCACTGCCAGCTTTCGCAGGTTTGGACCTCTCGTTGTAGACTGGCCTCACAAAGCTGAAAGCAAGTCGTATTTTCCTCCTAAAGGTAATGCACTTAAACTGTCTCCACTGCCTGCCTGTTGGAGAGCTGGCATGACATTCAATAAAAGACAGCCTTTTAATCCTTGAAATAGCAGTTGGCTTTTTTCCCCTAATTAAGAAAATATTTTAATGTTAATCATCTTTTTGTGTCTTACTGTTTTCATTTGGAAACTATTCCCCCAGGAGCACACTGTTTCAGGGCATGTCTTGTACTGACAGTGAGATCCTGTGAGTCCGTTGTGAATGAGCCTTGTGCTAAATTTTCATTATTTGAGAAAAAAAATCTAGGGGTTAGAAGAATGTCAGTGATGGGAGAGGAAAAGATCATTTAGAGTCAAATTTTGTTTGTATCCCATAGTTCTGTAGTTTTATAGATCTTATAAACCCCAAACTTGGAAAACCTAATGGCCGAAAAGTGACATTGTATGAAATTACCTTTATTCATGTCTGTATTTTAAGTGACTTCGCTTGTTGAGGGGTGGTGGGCAAACCAGCAAAGAACTCTTCACGTGAATTCATCCCTTATGTTTGGTAGGCCTTTTTTGGTAATTTACGAAGACATGAAAATATATTACTTTGTTCATAGTTTGTCATTTCTGCAGAATTCAGGGAACTTTTCTAGTGATGTTAACTCTGGGTAAGTTCCTAGAATCGTATAGAAGAGTGTTTTGGGTTAAAAAGGAAGTTTTCTTCATGTGTTATATTCTGTAGCTACGTTTCAAGGATGTCTTTTATCTCTAAAGAATTGGGGTTTTTTGATATACATTATTATATAACATTAGTCACCACAAGAAGATGGAGTCAAAATACCCTTCCCATGCTTCGTACAGGAATGAAATTATAGCTTAACTTGGGAAAGGCAGGTGACTTCCTCTTATGTCTGGTTTATTAGGTTTCTTTGCCACCTATATTTCTCCCCATTCTCTCTATAACCTATGAAAAGAAGTTACTCACTTAAATAGAGGCTGTTTACTTTTAACATTTCTTTTTTAATTTTCTCCAAGAATTTTTAAAGTTAAATAAGTAAGTTTTGGGGAGCCTGGGTGGCTCAGTCGTTAAGCATCTGCCTTTGGCTCAGGTCATGATCTCAGGGTCCTGGGATCGAGCACCGTATCGAGCTCCCTGCTCCGCAGGAAGCCTGCTTCTCCCTCCCACTCCCCCTGCTTGTATTCCCTCTCTCACTGTGTCTCTTTCTATCAAATAAATAAATAAATAATCTTTAAAAAAAGATCATATTTATTAAAAAAAGTAAGTTTTACATTAATCGGAAAAGATAAAAATCACCATGTTGATTATTTCACTGAAGGAATGTGTTCAGTACTTCGTAGTACATGTGGACACTATGTAAACACACATGTTTAAAACGTGTTTCTAAGAGTGCTAATAATTCCTTGAATTGGAGTAGTGTTATTTCAGTGAGCAAATGAGTTCACCACACTGTGCTGTAGGTTGTATGCTCTGTAAGGTCACATGTATAAAAAGTACAAGTTGCACGTGAGCATCAAGACATGTTATCTCAGTGAAAGAATGTGTTCACCACACTGTGGTGCATGTAACACACTCTGTAAAATTACATGTATAAGAGATATTTCTAAGAGTGCTAGTGAAAAAATAAACATGCTGAGAAGGTTATAGAAATAACTCTGGGATAAAAAGTGTCAGGTGATCATCATTAAAAAATGAAGAGAAACGTGTATAGATGTGTCCAAGAAAATTATTGCAAACCTGCCTGTATCAGACATAATCACTGTATACATTTTATTAAATTTCCTTCTAGTGTGCTCTTTATGAATATGAACATTTATATGAAATTTTGCATTTTAAATAAATGGGATCACACTGTACCTGCTGTTCAGTAACCTGCATTCCCCCCTCTTATATCTTTGTGTAAGAGACCTACATAATTTTAATGACCTTATTTTATTTACTCTGTCCTATTGATGGACACTTAAGTTGCTTCTAGCTGTTTCTTCTCATGGATCATGCTTCAGTGAATACCCTTGTGCCTTCATCTTTTTGCCCTTTATCATTGCCTCTTAGGGTGAATTTCCAGAAGTGAGGTACATATTTATACAGATTGCAAAACTGCCCTTAAGAAAGGTCATATACGTTTATGTTCCCACCAATAGTATCTGATTTGTAAACCAGAGTTACTGAGCCTGAGGAAATGACTTTCGATCTTTGCCAATCTGATGGTTAAAATAACATCCCTTTCCCCTTTTTTTGGCATTCTTTTCTCTTTACTGGCCTTTGAATGTATTTTACTTTTTTAGATTGACTTCTCATTTCTGTCTGGACTTATATTGGAGTCAGATACAAGAAGAGATCCAGTTTTCTTTTTCCTAGTAGCATGCCAGTCATCTCAATAGTCATTTACTGACTAATACATTTCTTTTCCTCATCAGTTTGAGTAAATAAGTGTAAGGAAAAAAAAGGAAAGAAGATTGGAAGGTTATCTCTTCTGTTTCTCAGTGGAGTGTACAAGTTTCTCTGGAACCGCTCTGTCCAGAATGACAGCTACTAGACACATGTAGTTAATGAGCACTTGAAACATGACTAATTTGAATTGAGATATGCTATAAGTGTTAAATATACACTGGATTTCGAAGACTTAGTTTTAGAAAAAGGTAAAATATCTCATAGTAATTTTGTTTTCATGTTAGAATGATAATTTTTTGATATATTGGATTAAATAAAATATATTAAAATGAACTTCATCTGTTTCTTTTTACTTTTAAAATGTAGGTATTAGAAAATTTGTGTGTGGTTTTTTTGGTGTTTTTTGTTTTTTTGTGTTTTTTTTTTGAAAATTTTAAGTTACATATCTGACTCATCTTTCTATTGGAAAGCACTTCTCTAGAACAGGAATCCGCAAACTACCTGTTTTTATAGGGCCTGTAAGCTAAGGATGGTTTTTATATTTTTAAAAGTTGTAAAAATACACATGCAAGAAGAATATGTAACAGAGACTATATGTGGCCCTCAAATCCCTTTGCAGAAAGTTTGTTGCCTCCTGCTTTAAAACGGTCTTTGGAGCTACTCATGTAGCTTCTGAGACATCCAGTGACAAAGGAGGCAGTTTATTTTAGAGGAAGTCTATATATTTGCTACACCTAGCTAATTCTTAAGGTTGCTTTTCAACTGCGTCGAGTGCTTCCCTGCAGTCTTTACCCTACTGATCAATTGTGTCCTATAAAGTAAAGTAGAATAAATTATCATTGTGACCTCTGTCTCTTGGTACTTAAAAGACTATTAGTTTCTCTTTAAGTCTTCTCTTTTCAAAGATAAACATTTTTACTTATCTCAGTCATACCTTATGTCTAATGGTTTCTGGATCACCAATTTTGTCTGCCTTTTCTGTATATATGTCATGTTTACAATATCCTACTTAAATTTGTTACTAAGAATTGAAGAGAAAACATTTGGGTTGGTATGAGCAGTACAAATTTTAGTTCTGTTAACTCCATGGTTTTTGGTGCCATTCATGTATAACAGCGTAATAATATAGAACTGTTGAACATTATATCTGGTGCCTTTGTTTTACACCTGAGGTTAAGTGTTGAGATGGGCCATTGACAGCAAGGCCAAGAGGAAAATCTAGATATCCCAGTTCTGGTCCATGGCTTGCATCCTTGCAGAGCAGATTGCCTTCCCTGTGATTAGCGGTTAGGAAGAGAAATAATTACTATACTGTTGGCTCCTTTTGTGTTTTGGCTTTCAGCTAAAGTCTGAAGGTTGACCTGTTTTGGGAGGACCTAAAGAGATTTGGTGTCATCCAAGATTGAAGTAACTTTGAGAATCCATGTCCATTGCTTTGAATGTTGGGAACGTCTAAGGAGTTCACCCCATCTGTTCTGTGCCTTCTTAATAATGCCCCCTTGCTATTTCTACTTTTCCTGAAATTCCTTAGGTTTTAATTCAGGTCCATGCCTTCTTGGAAATGCCCTTCATGCTGAGTGTACTTTTCTTTAGGTTACCTTAGGTTGGCCATTAGGTACAGTTTGTTTGGCTGTCCATTTTGGTTTATGTGTAAGTAGAAAGGAACCATCCACTATTGAGCCCTTTTGCCTTTTTCTCAGAAAGAATATGCCTAATGAAATACACATTCATCTGGCAGGTTTACCTGTACAGATATAGGGTAGGGTTTGTAAAACCATGGCCATTTCAATGGACTGTGGAGAGTTTAAAATCCATGTAGAGAAACAGTGACCAGGCACATCAGTTGTCCCTTTAAGTGTTGTTGGGCTGTGTTGACAGTGGGAGGTAATGGAGTCTGGGGCTCTCTCCAGCACAAAGACCACTGAGGTATTTGATCAGCCATTTGAGGATATGCAAAGTCCTGTGGATCAGTTTGTCTGTAGGCCACAAGCAGGTAGTTGCTTGTTGTTCTCCAGAGCAATAATGAGAACATGAAAGGTGGAGGAAGGCATGGAAGTCAGAATGTATATTTTCATAATTTGGTCTCAGACCTCATAACTTATAGTCCTGTGGGGAAAATAAGAAATTAATCAACTAGTCAAAAAATAAACACAATTACAAATTGTGATAGTTCTGTAAAGGATAAGTAGAGAGTGCAGTGACTTTAAAAAGGGGTCATCAATTTAGAGTGTGGATATGGAGAAAGCTTCTCTGAGAAGATGACAGTTAAGCAGATCTAAAAATTGAGGAGTTAGCTAGAAAGTTAGGGAAGCAGGTTCCAAGTGGAGTACCATATGGGAACGACTGAGTACGAAAGGGCGTTAGTACCTTTGAGTAAATGAAGTGTGGTTGGAATGTTAGGAGAAAATGATGCAAAAGAATGAGCCTTGAAACAGTAGGATTTATTTTTCTTCCCTAAATTGATTTCATCCCCCAGAGAGAGTGGACATGAAGGCATTTGTGTGGTGTTTGTCTTTGGGGTGAGGGAAGAATGGAGTTGGGTCAAATAGAAATATCAGTTTAAAATACTTTCAGGGCGCCTGGGTGGCTCAATTGGTTGGGCAACTGCCTTCGGCTCGGGTCGTG